TTTTTTTTTCTTTTTTTTTTCTTTTCTTTTTCAACCCCAATTGCAGCGCAATCTGTCAAACTGTTACATTCCATGGAAGGTTATGTTGATCCATTATTTTTTGTACCAGCACCCTTAAACCCTAAACCCTACCCTACAAACCTCTGGTTTATTATCTCTTTTCTGCCACCATATGCTCAGATTTTGCTGCAGCACAGCCTATTATCAACCTGTTACCCGCATAGTAAGTTGTGTTGTCTCTCATTTTGTATCAGTGCTTTTCAATCCTACCCTACAGACGTCTGGTTTGTCGTCTCGTTTGTGCCACACCCTTTTTTGTAGTCATTGCTAACTGCCTCGTGTTGTTGTCCTGTTTCGACCTGCGTTGGCCCAGCTCCTATCTTCCCGCCCCATCTCCCTTCAAGTTGTGCATCTGTCATCGTAAGCCCACAGACGCATTAAACGCTGACGCTGCTCCTTCAGTCAGTGACACCCCCTTTCCAACCTATGTTGTCAGAAAGGGGGTGTCACTGACTGAAGGAGCTGCGTCAGCGTATAATGTGTCTGTGGGCTTAAGACACCCCCTTTCTGACACAGCTCCTTCAGTCAGTGACACCCCCTTTCTGACACAGCTCCTTCAGTCAGTGACACCCCCTTTCCAACCTATGTTGTCGGAAAGGGGGTGTCACTGACTGAAGGAGCTGTGTCAGCATTTAATGCATCTGTGGGCTTAAGACACCCCCTTTCTGACACTGCTCCTTCAGTCAGTGACACCCCCTTCCGACCCATGTTGTAGACAGTTACATAGTGTTCATTGTGGTGAGGCCTCATGAAGTCGGTGTTTGTGTCACCAGTGATTGTGCATGAGCCTTCCAGTGTGCCGGGAGGCCCGTACGACTATGTATTGGTGCCGTGAGATGGTTTACGTACAAGCCTTTTGGAACTCTGATGTTTCAGTCTTACATTCCCCTTGCTGTGTTCAAACTGCAGACTTCACACCGCATGACCAATCCCGGCTGCTGTTCTTCCTGGTCCCCGGACGAGATTCTCAGTTCCTTCGGAGGGGAGTCCATTCTTGGCGGGCATACGGCTTGAGGGTAAGGGAAGAAATGGCTGAGGAAAGGGGGGGGAGGGGGAGGGAGGGGCAGGGAGGGTAGATGACTAAGATGAAGAGGATGAGATGGGGTTCAGCCACGGTTTCCACCTTAGCTGGTTGTGTTGGTCCAGTTCGCAGAGTCCTCTGCAGTGTCCACCAATATTGAACAGCAGTCTGCTCAAGATGGACACAATGGCAGTCAGATACATCCCTGTCTGGCTGTCCTTCCCCTGCTTGCCTGCATGTACCCTCAAAGGAATGTGCCTGTATCCAGCCCCAAAAAAGGTTTTAGTTCAGTTAACCGTTTTCAATGGGCCCACAAGCTTACAACCCAATTGCTTCACCAGGCCTTCCCCGAGCCCCAATTTTTGCTTGTGGCGACAAAATCATTTTCCTGCAAGGCTGGTGCCATGTACTAGTGGTTTAAACCGCCAGGGTTTAAACCACCAGTACTTCCTACAATCGTGCCCGTTAACGCGGCGCGATTTTAGGAAACGTACGGGCTACTACAGGAGCACCCAAATTCATCCGACTAGAAACGTTTCTAGTAACTTTCTACTCTATTTTTTTCCGCAGCCGATAGCTGGGCCAAGTACTGGTGGTTTAAGGCACCATGTTCATTGTCTAGACTCTAGAGGTTTACCATAAGGAGCCAATTTAAACCAGCAGTACTTGGCCCAGCCATTTTTATGTCCTAGGCAGCCGTTAACGCGCCTTGAGATTCAGGGCTCGGCAGCTGGAACAAAATGGCTTGCGGCACCGCTGAGTCGAGTTATTGCAGCGTGCAGGGCATTTCAAGGCTCAGTAAGGGAAGGGTTAAAAGCACTGGTTGTCAATGCAAGAACAAAAATCATACAATGTCATCCCGTGCGGGCTACTTCAAAGGGAGCCACCTATTGTTTGGCCTCTCTGGCGGTCTCACCCCTCTCCGGCCGTCTGGCGGTCTCACCCCTCTCCGGCCGTCTCACCCCATAATGAACAACCCGGAGTCCCAGTGTCATGCTGTCCCATTTAGGCACCATATCGAAGGGTACGCAGAACCCATCCATTAGACAGCACTGCAGCAGTACTTCTTCAGATTTGACCCTTTCCTTGCCAAGTCTTTAAAAAACACCCTGCCTACCACTGATAAAGGAACTAGCACAACTGTTACATGCCAGCAGCCATTTTGCTCCTGTGCCCAAGCCTCGAAACTCTAGGCACGACAACGGCTGCTTCGTAGAATTTAAAACCGGCTGCGGCAAGTTCTTGTGGTTTGATAACGACAATGTTGCTAGGAGCAGTGCCAACCAACACAGACAGATCATCAGCAAACAGAAAACACGATAGCCTCCTCTTGTGGAGAGGACACCCCAATCCTGCAAAATCCTTGTTCACCCCCAAACATTCTGCTGCTAGAGCCTCCCCGGGCCCCACGTCCCATTCAAGATCATATCCAAAAAATGAGAAATTTATAGAGAGATCCTTGAGACACCGGGGCCATTACCTGGCTTCGGCCAAGAAAACAACTGTGTAATCTGCACCAGAACACTTAGATTCTCTGTCCCCGCCTTGAGTCTGAACGGTTGCGTGTTTCCTCCAAGTCAGTCTATCTGTCTCCTTTTCACTACACTTCACTTCACTTTCACTGTGAGCAGAGGGGTCGGGGGGGGGGTCGGTGGCTTTGACCCACCCACCAGAGATGTGGAGGGGCGAGTTGGGTAACCCCTCTTGCAGTTGTTGGATAACCCCTCATGCAGTTGTCTCTTGTCTTAATACATTGATCGAATCAACCAAGCAATCAATCAACCCATACATATCCTTCATTGTAGGGTAATTTCTGGAGCGTAGGACGAAGTTGCAGTATGTTTTTTCTACCCTGGTACTCGTCTTTTATCTCCAGGCAGTCGTCAATCACTACAAAACAGTTACTTCGGTGAAAAAAACTTAGTCCTGGATACTTACATCGTGATCACCTATCGTCAATCACTACAAAACAGTTACTTCGGTGAAAAAAACTTAGTCCTGGATACTGACATCGTGATCACCTACCTGATGGATTGATTGGTTCAACTTAGTAGTGCTTGGTTGATTAATACATTGATCGAATCAACCAAGCAATCAATCAACCCATATACATCGATCAGATGGGTGAGACTGATTGATTGATGGAGGGCCTTATTGACCGATAGGTTATCTCATCACGCAATTGAAAAGACAAGCGTCGAGGGCCTCAAAAGAATCTTAATCAGATGGACAAGAGAGCATCATGAATGCCGTTGACAACAAATTATTGCCTATTTAACAAATTATTGCCGTTTTGCATCTGCGCCAGGAAACTCTCTTCTTCCCCCAACATAAGGCATATGCGTCGCATTCAAGTTTCAAAATTTTAAAAAAAATATATCGAATAGAACACATGCGTTCTATTCAAAATTCACGGCTGTTCGAAGAGAACGCATGTGCGTTGTATTCGAAATATAGGTCTGTTCGACTAGAACGCGTAGGCAGTGTATTCAAACAGTCCTCATAGGCGGCATGTTCGAATAGAACGCATAGGCGTTGTGTTCGAACACAACGCACCCTACGCGCTCTATTCGTTTAGAACGCACGTGTTATGCTTGGGGGAAGTAGGTAGGAGGCAACCAGAGCACCTCAGGCATGCCATCGGGCATAATATATCCTCATCTAGCTCAAAAACTGTCCTGAATACATGTAATAGTACATGACAGTCTGATGCCATAGGGTATAGTAATAGATCTGCATCTAGCTCAAAAACTATCCTGAATAATTGTAACAGTACATGACTGTGAATTGCACTGCATAACAATATAGATGGATAGACATATAACCCTCCTGACCGCACCACATAGCTGTTCATACTGGTCTCATTTACCATGTCCGGAGATACGTGACACAGAGTTTCTCAAATTGTTATTCAATTCCGCAGAGACATACCACCGAAGCTCTCTCTCAGACGCGCTACAGACATTATAAATAAAGTTAATAAACTGTCACTACCTCCACGTTTTCAGGCCATCAACGAGGTGGATGAATCGGTGCGCCACACGGGACCATGTGCATTTGCATCAGAGCCTCCCCAGAGGCGGCCTAAGACCCCCTGGGTACAGGTGGTATAAAATAAACCCCCTCACTAAATGTTCTTTCAGACAATTTGAAAGCCAAAAAACTACTTTGCTAGACTTTAAAGCACTGGGGGAGAGGGGCGGGGATTGGCTGGCGCGGACAGGGATACTTGCAACAAAAACGAGAACAATAAGGACAACAACAACAGCAACAACAACGATAACAACAACGACAATAACATCCATAAGTAAAACGACAGTTTCATCGACGATGGGCGCATCAACGACAGTTCCATGGACAATAGTCACATCAAAGACAGTTTAATGGACGATGGTCGCATTAACAACAGCACTAGGGTTCTTTCTTCACGCCTCATGTATTGATGAGCATATATAGACAATACTGAATGCACAGTAGAACATACCCACAAATCACTGCATAGCGACGTTGGGCCCGACTTCCAGCTGATACACATCACATTTTTGTATAGGGTCGGTCTCATAGATAGGATTAAGCATGATGCCTTTGTTCGTTCTTGAGAAACTGTAGATCAGGTGGATAGGGTTCTCCCATCATCTGACAATATACTGGTTAACCAACATATATAGGTAGTAGGAGATATCAACACATCTCTATATATGGACGCTGGACAAAATTTTCCAGCTGATACATTGACATCATTGTACAGGGACACTGGACCCGATTTCCAGCAGGTGCAGCTCTCCACCAGTAGATTGAGCCTTCGACGCTGGGGCCTGCTTACCAGGGATGCTCTTATCACCTCGCTAAATAGGTTCCCTGTATACGAAGTTGGTAAAAAAAAAAAAAAAAAAAAAAAAAAAAAAAGTGCGTGTTGGATGTCATTAAACTATATTCATTTCTGAATCACTGCTGGCATTTTGACACACACACACAAACAAGGACTGGGCTACAACATTAACCACCAGCACCTCCCAACGAGGTCTAATTCTTGAGGCCTGTCATTTAAAAAAAAGAAAAAAAAAACGGTTCAAGGAAAACCCCTCAGGAAGATGCAACGGGGGGTCCCTGTCCCCCTAGCCTCCTAGGTACTAGGGAGGGTACAAAATTATAAACAGCAGTGCACGGAAAACCTGGCAGAAAGATGCTGGGGGGTGGTCCTATTTGTAGTCTAGCTATTCAGTACTACTAGGGAGGCTGCAAAACTTCAAAACAGGAGTTCGACGAAAACCCCTCAGGAGGGGTGTAGCAAAAAGAAGGATATGGCAACAACACATAATCTAAGTTGGGGAGGGGCTATTTGGGAACTCGTCCATTTTGAGACCCCCTCAGAAGTAACTCCACCATGCAAGGGGGGTCCTATTTCTAGCCTAGCTATTTATTACTAGGGAGGCTAGCCTAGCTATTTAGTACCAGGGAGGCTGCAAAATTCAAATTTCGAAGGAGTTCAACAAAACCCCTCAGATATGGAGGAGGGGTGTAGCAAGGCAAAAATGGCACCACACAAATCATCCAGGGGGCGGGTGGGTTGTGGAGGGGAACTCTTCGGGAACTCCTCCCATTTTGAAAACCCCTGCAAAAGTAACAAAACGGGGTCTTCAGAAGGTAACGTCAATAAGTAACAAGGCAAAAATATGGAGGGTTTGAAAGCAAGGCAGCTCTAGTAGAGGGGTCCTCTACCCATTTCCGTCCGTTCCATTCTAGTACATATGCTTCTTTCTCCTGTCGGTCTTCCTTTCCCCCTATTAAAACCCTGCCAATACACCCCTCAGCAACCAAGCCACCCATTTGCATGCTGACAAACATCTTCCACTTGTTGGACCTGCAGGGGTCATTCTTGTGCATCTGATGGATCACCCATTTTAAGAAAAACTTGCAAACATCTTCTACCCGCCTCTGGACAGATCCTTCTTGCCGATCATACTCTCCCCCTTCAAGTGCCTATTCTTTTTTTTTTCTTTTTTTTGGGTGGGGGGGAGAAACAACCCCAGCTGATGCTAGGGGTGCTGATAGGAGAAGGCAAGTGGCAATTCTTTCACGCAGACCAGGCATTCAACAATATCCAGGGTAGTGTCACTACTTTCCTCGTTTATTCTCTCACCTTGGTTACCATCTTCCGCTTTCTCTTCGAGTGGCCATTCTTCCTTCACCCCTCCCACTGAGTTCGATGAGAGACCCCTTTCTTCAGACAGATCATCCATTTTTCACCCCTTCTTCAGACAGATCATCCATTTTTCACCCCTTTCTTCAGACAGATCATCCATTTTTCACCCCTTTCCTCAGACAGATCATCCATTTTTCAGGAATATCCAAAACAGTGTCACGTCGATAACAGCTTCCACTCGCTCTTTGAGTGGCCATTCTTGCCTATTGCCACTGTGCCGATCACTGTCCTGCCATCCTTCATCCCTACCCTACTTCATTCCTCCAATCGAGAGTGCCGCGAGAGAGGCGTTTTTTTTTGCAGACGGATCCGCTATTTCAGGAATGTGTAAAGTAGGATCACGTCTTTCCACTGTCCTTTTCTACAACCCAAGCGGGATGCTAGGAGTGCTGATATGAGCAGACACCTGTAACACCACCGGAGAGCCTCCATCAGTTCTTTCCACTGTCGCCTGCCGTCCTTCATCTTAGCTAACATCTCTTCTGCTTCCATGTCGAGTGGCCATTCTTGCCCAATGCCATCTTGTCGATCACTGTCCTGACATTTCTCTTCCCTCCCATCGAGTGCGACGAGTTGGCCATTTTTTTCAGACGGATCAGCCATTTTCATTTTCAGATACAAGCACACAGCACTTCACTTCCTCAGCTTGAAGCAAGGAACGATCCGAGCCCGAAGTCTTCCTTCATCATACATTCCCCATCGCCGAAAACATCTTCTGTTTGCTCAGCATGAAATGGTCTTTCTCGCAAATCACGACCGTGCTGATCGCTGTCTTGCCCATCAGTGTCGTGTCTTGCCAGTCACCATCTCTCCCTCATTGTGGGCTGTTCACAGATGAACCCACCATTTTCAAAACAAGCAAAACAGTGGCTTCTCCTCCTCTTTCTCAGGGAAAAAGGCCAAGGCATGGCTCCTCCTTCACTCCTTTCTCTCGCTGTGTTGTACACTTACAGCCTGAAGGTAGTAGCAGCGATGTAACAAAGAAGTGAAGTCTTCACCTCCCCTCCGTTTCTGTCTGTTACCGTCCATTACTGTTTGTTACCTCAGTGACTCCATCGGTTACTGTTTGTTACCGTCCGTTATTGTTTGTTACCGTGGTAACTCAATCAGTTACTGTGGTGCTTTTCCTCGTCTCAACTTGTTACCTCAGTAACTCAATCGGTTACTGTTTGTTACCGTCCGTTACTAGTTACCGTGGTAACTCAATAAATAGGTTGCTTTTCCTCGTCTCAACCGTGCTAACATCCATCCAGCCATAAACAGCCCACTCGTTTCCTCTTGCCGTGTGGTGTACATCTACTACCTTCTTCCCCCGAATACAACAGAGGGTCATTACAGCTCTGCCGAAGTATATTTATAGACTGGTGTGGCATTTCCTCCTCCACACCGGGTTAATATCCATCCAGTCAAAAGCAGCTCTGCC